GTGGGAATGTTACAGGAGAATAGAGGAGGTAAAGAAGAAAAAAACAGAGTGAATAATACTGAAAGACATCACATCTGTGCAGAAATGAGACAAAATCCACTGAAAACTGTTCAATAACACAGGGTAGGGGAAGAGGGTAAGAAGAGTAGTGGTGGGGGCTAGACTGATTAAATGACAATACATTTACAGGTAAAATACCGAGGCAAAGCCCCACTGAACAGTGAATAGATAAAACAATGAAGGACAGGAACGTAAAACAGGTTACGTTAAGGGGAAGGAAACTGTGGGATGGGAAGAGTAAATGACGAGGGTAAAGGAGGGTGAGCATGGCTGAGTACTTTCTGTGCACCGTATGAATATGAAACATTGAAACCTGTCCCAGTCATGTTAAGGGGGAGTGGGGAGAGGGAGAACGATGGAAGGGATAAGCCAAACTCGGATACATGGAAATGTCACAATGAAACCCCTGTATAACCATCATTCACTAATAAAAACATTTAAAAATAAGTAAATTTGAAGCTTTAAAGGGTGCATGTGCCCCTTGACTCCGAAACAGAATTTCTAGAAATTTGTCCTAAGGAAGCAACTTATGATTTAGAGAAAGAATGCTTTTGAGTCTTGTTTATGGTTAAAAACTGGGGATGATGTAAATTTCTATCATAAGAAGTGATGATAAGCCGTGATGGGCCCATACCATAAATGACCAGGTAAGACGGCCACTGCTGTGACACGAGTCTCTACTGCCAATCAAAGTCAGGGAAGATTCAGCATGAGTGAGAACAAGGCGGGGGGAGGGGGGTGCATGATAAAAGAGCACACCGCAGTGCTTACAGCCAGGTGAGGAGATACTCAGAAGTACTCCTGCATCTGGCTTCTTTCGCTGACCTAGTTTTCTGTGGGCTCCTTTTAACAGGCAAGTCCTATTCTGCTCTATGAACACACTACAGATCTGCTTATGCACGCTCCTGCTGATGGACATCTGGCTGCTTCCGGTCTTCTGTCATGAGTAGCCTGGCTATGTGTGGGACTCTCACAAAGTCTTTTGGTGGACATAAGCATAAACACTCACTTTCTCTTGGCTACGTGCCTAGAGCTGATTGCTAGGCATAGGTAGCCATGCTTAACTTAGAGTGACTGTGTAAGTTTCCTAACAGCATGTTTTGGACTTCTCAAATAAAGTTTACTTTTTCTAATTAATTTTTTTTTTAAGAGACAGGCTCACTATGCTGCCATGCTGGTCATGTACCTCTGGGCTCAAAGGATCTTCCTGCTTTAGCCTCCCAAGCAGCTGGGACTACAGGCATGTAGTACCTCGGCTGGCAACAACTTTGTCACACACACACACACACACACACACACACACACACACGGGGATTGAACCCAGGGCCCAGGCATGGTAAGAACATGCTCTGGCACTGAGCTACACTTCCAGTCCTTCACATAAAGCTTTAAATTTTAAAAAGCCCTTCAGCTGAAGTACAAGAGCTTTGGTGCTTTTTGTTTTTCATCTTTTAGAGCAGGATTAACATAAGCAGAGTACTTAGATTCCAGAAAATATGCAAGATTTTTGGGGATGTGGGAGGAAAATAGTAGCATTTCTACTTTAGCTCCTTATTGTTTTAACTAAAAAGTAAAGTTCAGTAAACTTGATATACAAAGTGACACTAGCGCCTTGCTCAGATGGCTTATTCCCTTTGAGCTCGCTGTGACTTAACTGCTATCTGTGTGCTTGACTGAATGGGATCACGGAGTATCTAACTCAACTGGCAGTCACCAAATGGACAATGGTAAGAGTCCCGTGGCAGTTGAACCACTATGCAAGAGGCAGAGAGCAATGAAAGCAGCCTAACTACACCAGTGTTTAGAAAAGCTCCTCAGAAGATCAAAATACGACCATCTATCTAACCAGAGCTCACAAGAAGCAAGAAAGTAAGACTAAAAAATATGGACAATATAGTAAATGTAAAACACCAAATATTACTTATACCGTGTCATTCCTTTGAATTTCTTTTGGTGCTTATTTTACAATGTCTGTGACAGTAGTACAAAGTATAGTATTATTTCAAAGTAAATTGTATTAGGGATGCATGCTCAAATTGCTTTACCAACAGGTACACATCCAAAGAGTTCAGAGACTCATCTTAGTATTAAGCTGGCTACTCTTAGGTACAGAAGAACTTGTCATTTGTAAAGCCACACACAGTAACGCATGCTCCGAAGAGACAGCCAGGCAGGTGCTATCACATCAGAACAGTGGGGGACAAGAACCTACCAGGAAAAAGCACCTGGCACTCAGCTGTACCTCAGCAGGCACTGGTGTTGTGCCAGCACGCACATTAGTGAACTTCCCTGAATGCACATTTAAGATACGCACGCCTCATTCTTTGTAAATCATATCTCACAAGAAAAAGACAAGGATGTGTACAAAATATTGACCTCGAGTTAACGACCAGCATCTTGAAGTGTGCAGGAGTGAATTACAGTGATGTCTGTAAATTACTGTGAAACGTGTAAACAAGGTGGACTGTTACACGGACAGAGCAATGGGCACGCGAACAGATAGGCGGACAGCAAGTGGAGTAAACTTACAGACTCTAGGGATAGGTACACCGTGCTCACCGCAGCAGTCTTTCACCTTTCCTATGTGTTTGGAAATTTTCATGATAAGATGTTGAGAAAAATAACAAATTTCTGAGTTGAGCACTGGGACACATTACTAATTAAAAATAGTATAATGATACAAGCATCAATTAGAAATTCAAAAAGGTAGGGACAGTCAAGCACCATGCCTACTGCTTTGGGACCCGGGAGTTCCGCAGACCCCTATGGACGCCCGAAACTGGATGGCACCAAACCCTATGGATTTGTAAGTCTATACGTACGCAGGTACGCAAGTATGTATGCGCATATAGACGCATGTACGTACAGACGTATGACACAGTCCGATTTAGCAGTCAGGCACCGTGAGAGATTGGCAGCAATGGCTAGTTACTTCTCTGTGGTTGCTCCCTCTCAAAATACCTTCTGGTTCTGTCCTGTGTCAGTGGACTGTGAAACCAGGGATACGGGGCCTGCGGTGCTCTCATCTGCGTAGGGAGAGTTATCTGTGTCTCAGGCTGGTAAACTGAAACTCGGACAGACGACAGAGCATACCCAGGGCCACCAAATGTGAACCCCAGCAAGGGCTGAATCCAACAGTCCAGCCCGCCCAGCTGCAGATCCCCCTGGCCTCCCTCCAGCAGGGAAGCCACCTTCCCTCCATCCCAGTGTTCAGGCTGAGCTGAGCTGAGCTGTCTCCTGGTGGGGGGGGCTTCCCTCCTAGGTGTGGCTCTCTGGGGCATAAAGAATGTCCTCCCACATGCCTGGCCTTCACATCAAGTCACAGTCTTTGAAATCTGAATAACTGGGATTTCTTTTCCAGTTAATATCTTGTAACATCATGTACGTTGTAAGCGGGTGTAAAAATGGGGATAATGCCTTATGAGGTGGGATGTAAACGGAACGAACAGGAAACACAGGCAGTCAGGAGTAAGGACTCGAACACCTTTCCTATAGAAGAGGTCTTAGGGAGGTCCTTGAGAAGATCAGGCTTGTAGCTTCTGTATTTTACCTATTTTCTTTCTCATTTTCTTTGCCACTGGAATCGTAACTTCCAAGAATTTTATGCACAATTGGGTCTATAACTAGGTACACCTCTGAAGCACTTTTCTTTCCACAAATTACTACAGGTGGGCAACCTGTGCAAGCAACATGTTAATGAAAGTTCAAGTCTGTTGTCTTTTTGACCCTCAAAGGACATTTTTCAAAGGTAAGATTCAAGAAAGCCCTTGCATTAGGAGTGACCAACTGGTACTGATGCCTTTAATTCACGTGAGCACACATACACATCCAGCCTGAAGCTGTACCTTTCTTCCTCGACAAACACATTTGGGGACTCCCTAAAGGACTCCTGGAGTCACAGATCTTACCCTTTAAGCAAGAGACATTATTGATTTCTTTTTTTTTTTTCCTTTGGCAGCACTGAGGTTTGAACTCAGGGCCTAACACTTGCTAGGCAGATGCTCTCACCCCTTGAGCCACCCCACTATACGTTATTTTAAGGCATATAAAAATTAATTCTCCTTTGAAAACTTTGCCTCATTTAAGGACCTACAGTTCAGACAGCTGGATGAAACCTACATAAGGCTGTTTTTCCTCTTATGTCTGAGGTTGCTAGTGTTGGAAGGAATCCTCCAGATGACTGCTCACAGTCACAGAACAGGACACGCTGAGGGCCAAGCCATCAGTCCACCACTGAGCCTGAACCAGCGGCCTTTCCATTTCACAAACTGGGCCAAACCATTTCTTTTTTTTCTCTTTTGGAGTGATTCTGTGCATCCACTGCTTGAACTTTACATTTCAGTGTGGTCCCCATGATGTCACTTCCTTTTGTGAGTGAAGAGCATCTTCCCCGGGTCTCGCTATCTTACAACACGGGGCTCACACTCCATCCAGGTGCACTGAACCCCTTTCTCTCCGAGCCTGCTTCTGTTGGGCAAAGGACGCCAACACGGGCTCCAAAAATGCCTCCCTTCCAGTGTCCACCGCCCAGTGTCACGAGATGGAGACAAAGGGGACCTGTCCTGGAACGGCGGGGCCTGGCGCCGCCCGCTCGCAGGCGCCTTGGAGGGGAGGACGCGGGAGCCATGGAGGGTGGCGGAGGGAGGCCAGGCCCAGCGCGGGCCAGATCGGGACCCAGGAGGGGTGGGGGGACGGGGATGGGGGCGCCAAGCCACGACGGCCGACGAGGGACAATGACAATGACAGCGCGGCCGGGGAGCCGCCGGGCGCAGCTCAACAAGTCCGGCGGGCGGAGGCCGCTGCCCTCGGCGGGGCAGCCACGGCCCCCGCGCCCCGACGCCGTCCGCTTCCCGCCGCCCGAGGCCCGGGGAGGGAGGGGGAGGGGCGGGGGACTCGGGCGCCATCGCGAGGGAAGATGGAGGGCGCGCGGCCCGACTCACCCGGGCGGGCCAGTGCGGGTAGCCCTTCATCTTGGCGAACACCAGGTCGCCCGCTTTGTACTCGCGGGGCCGCGGACGCGCCATCGCGGCCGCTCCCCTTCGCGCTCGTCCTTGTCGCCGCCGCCGCCGCCGCCGCGACGCCGGGAGGCCGCGCCCCCGCGGGCAGACGACCGCGCCGCGCCCCCGCGGCCTGGAGGAGCCTGGAGCCGGCCGGGCGGCCCGACGAGGCGGCGGCTGAGGGGTGCGGCGGGCGTCCCGCCTCCCCCGCCTGGCAAACCACGGCCCCGGCCGCGCCGAGGTCCCCGCCGCCGCCGCCCCTCTTCACAGGCGCCGCGCCGCCAGCCTCATGCCGGCCTCCGTCCCCGGCTCCCGGCGCCGCGCGAGCGCCGGGCCTCGCGCCGCCTCCGAATTCCTCGTCGGGCAGCGACCGCAACCACGATCTTCTTCTTCTTCTTCTCGCGCGCTCCGCACCCCCGCCCCGCCGGCCGCGCCCCTCCCTCGCGCGCCGGCCGGTTAATTCCTAGGTGCACGGCCGCCTCTCGCGGAGAAACCGAGCGCGCCGCGCCCAGGCTCCGCGGGCGGGCGGGCGCGTCCTCTCCCAGCGCCGAAGCCCGTGCGGGCGGGCGGCGATGCCGGCTCCGAGGGCGCCCGCCGCCCGCTCTCTTTTGTTCCTAGGCCTGCCTGCTGCAGTCCAGCCAATCACCGCCGGGCGGGCCGGCCTGGGGCGCGCCCCCCTCCCCCAAATCCACGCCCATCCCGCCCCACCCCCGCCCGGCTGGCCCTCACCCACCCCCCCCACCACGCCAAACACGCGCGCACACGCACACGCACACGCACACGCAGCCCCCCCCCCCACCGCGGTTGCTCTCTGGTGAGTGGGGGACAAAGGCGGGCCCGGGAGCGGGGCGGGGACCTGCTGTCCTGGACTCACGCTGCTTGCATGCACAGAGCACCCCTGGGAGCATGGCGACCTTGTGGGGTTCTGGGCCTGGGTCTGCCCTGGAAGTTAATGCAGGGTGACCACCCAGGGTGGGCTGCTGCTGCTCCCTCTTTTGCACAGTCGGGTTTCGAACCTGGATCTGCAGGAGCCCAGTGTCCACAGCGGTTGTGCTTCCCTCTGGTGGGTTTCCCAGGCGCTGGCACGTCACTTGATTTCGAGCCTGGTCACCTTTTGGACAGTGTTTCTGCGGTTGGCCTCTGGTTCAGTAGGTCCAGAACAACCCGGGTGCACGTCTGCCGCGCTTTTGCTCCAAACACCCTAGCTGACGGTTCTCAAAGACCTTTAGGGACTGAGAACGTTCCTGCCATCCTCTTTTGTGAGGCGTGAACACCATCCTTCGGTCCCTTTGGGATCTGCCCCGTGGGTGATGCTGTGGCTTTCATCATCCGAAGGTCCCCTGGTGCCTGTGGCCTTCACCCTGTCTCAAGTGCACTCTGGTTTGTAGACCACCCTCTCTGCTAGGCTTCCCTGCCCTGTCCCTTTTAGAGAAGATAGTTTTCCCAAGCCTGAGCCCCTCACTTGCCCTGTGGAGTGTTCCTAATCCCTGCTGGTTCCTGGGTTCTGGGCTTCCAGTAATGGAGCCGCCAAGTCTCTAGCGTTCCTGCAAATTGTTTGCTTTGTTCACAGTGCCTGGGCATTGATGTACTAAAGCATTTCCTTACGACTTGCACCCCGAGATCCCCATCCTTTCTGTAAGGTACTTACCCCTCCTGGCCTCCTTCAGCCTCACCTTTTCCCTGAAAGACACCCGTCAGCTAATGTGTCTCTCACTTCTAGAAGCTGCTGTGGCAAATGTCGTTCTGTGCCCTGCATGTGAACCTGTGAGGTAGTGCCTATGTCCTCTTGTGTCACAGCCAAGTCCCTCTGACTAGCTGCCAGAGCCCAAGCTGTCCAAAGCCCAGTGGTCCCATCAGTTAGAGAGGAGAACCGAGAGGGGAAAGGCTGACGCCCTGGAAGGTGGGGCAACACATTATTCCGGGGAGGACGTGATCATAGCCAGGCTTTGGCTGGATTACTTGAGTGGCTGGTGTGGAGGTGACTGGAGAGAGAGGTTGAGGCAGGACCGCTGGTGAGGGGCTCTTGCTGGACAGGAGAAGATAAGGGCTGGTGGCAGGTGGGTGAGAAGGGGACTCAGAATGATTCCTTAGTTTCTGGCCTAAGCAACAGGCTTAGTTTTAACCCTCGTTGACACGAGGGAATCCGTGAGAAGTGATGTGTAGAGGTGAGGTAATAGGTGGGTTCCGGATGTCCTCATCTTCCTTTGGGCTGTCAAGGATTGCTGAAGAGACAACTTCAGGACAGTGGTCAAGTCAGCACGTAGAGATGTGAGGGCCATGGAAGGACAAGTGGTGGCTGACACCATGACAGGATGCCCAGGAGACTGTAGCATGAGAGGGGCAGTGCTCCTTCAATCTGGAGGAGGCAGTTCCAACATACAGGGGTCATGCAGAAGAAAAAGTGTTTTGTGTCATAGGAGCCAAGGAGCAAGTATCTAGGTGGTGTAGTAAGATCCTAAAGGAGATGAGGCCACTGAATATGGTGATTGGGAAGCCACTGGGGACCTTGCTGGGACCTGTGCCACTGGGTGGAAGATTCGGAGAGTGGTGGCTTAAGGTGTGAGAGGCAGGAGGTGTAGACAGTGCAGAAGAGCGGCAAGAGAGCAGAGAGAGGTTCTGTTGTGCTAATTTGGCTGGTCTTTAAAAGTAGGAGAAACTACTATTAATATAATATAATAATATAATATACTACTATATATAATATATAACTATAATATACTACTAATGAGAGGCAGCAGCCGCCAGGGTGGTTAGAGGCAGAGACAGAAAGGGAGCTGATGGGAGGAATTTGGTTGTTTTGAGGAGGAGGGACATTTCTCCCTGTCTAGGCTTTGATTTCAGGTTTCCATTTGAGCCTGGCCTGACTGACGATTGAGCACCTATGGTTTGCCTAACTCTCATCCCCTAACACAGTCCACCCCCTCCCGCCGAGGGCTCCCTCATCACCCTGATTCTGGTAGTGTGCCTGGCCAGGAGCCCACCCATCCCTGCAGCCGGGTTGGATGCAGACCCCCTTGTCAACTCTTCCCTGCTGGGGAGGAAGCCTTGCCCTGTGGCTTTCACACCGGGCTCTCAGCTTCCAGGACAATTCTCTGTTCAAATACTTAATGGACAATATTCAAACCTTCAGAGGCATCGTTAGCAGTATTAAAGAGGCGGATGTGTTTTATTTTAGTCAGTGTGGTCCCGCGAGCTGGTCTGTTTGCTGTATTAAAAGTAGAATACATTAATTTTACTTCTGAAACTTGGAGGGAAATCCTCTCAAAAATGATGATAATGTCAGCTCCCTGTGGCCCCTTTTGATGTTGGTGTTCTCGAGTTGCTGTGGGCTGGTACCTCCCGGTCCCACACCGCGGGCTCCTTGATCTGTTTGTGCCAGCCCCCATCACTCTTGCCCATTCTTGACCTGGTTTCACCTTCTCCTCTCATATCTTGGTCAGCATCCAAAATAAAACTCTACTAAGAGCTCCTTCAAATCCTGCCCCCCACCCCGCCTCAATCCACCCATCAATAGCCTAAAATCCATCCCTTTGCCTACGGTCACGTCTGAGGTTGAGCACAGAAAGCATTCGGAACCGTGCCCGGCACACAGCACGTGGGTGTAAACATCGGCTGATGTCGTTATCTTTGTTGCGCTGGTAGCATGGTCAGGTGAAAAGCATTGTGGGAGGGAATAAGGAAGCATTGGAGTCAAACACACACTGCCAGCTCTCTGGACCTGGCCTCAGGGTCTATTTCTGCTACTTTTGCCCACTTGGGGTATCACTTCAATGTCCCCAGCCCAGTCCCAGGGGAGCTGGTCTCACACTCCTTGAAAGGGAAAGGCTGTTTGGGGTGAGAGAGAGAACTCCCACATCAAGTGAGTGGTGGTGGTTCTAGGTTGGCAGAAGGCACGGTAAAGTCAATATGGGCCACAGTGGGAGAGGGTAGAGGTCATTGTCAGATGGGGATGGATAGCAGCAGCAGTGGTTCTCAGGCTGCCCAAGCAGAGAGCAGGGAACACTCCAGCAGTGATCTCAGAGGCTTGTTAATAGTCCTGGAAGACACCGTGTGAGCTGCCTGATGTCTTATTTGGGGAACGAGCCTGGAATGATTTCAGGTCTGGGAATTCCCCTGGAGTGCTGAGCTCAAAAGGCTGTTTCCACTGAGACCATTCTCATGCCCCTCTTCACAGTCCTATCCCACACTGGGAAGAAACTGGATCACTTTAATTTAGAGTTCAAGATGCAGAAGATATTAAAGACTTGAAGAGGGCTGAGTGTGGTGGGATGCAACTGTAATCTCAGCTACTCGGGCAGCGGAGATTGGAGGGTCATAGTTCAAAACCAGCCTGGGCAAAAAGTTAAGAGTCCCATCTCAATGAAATAAGCCAGACATGGTGGCATGTGCCTGTATTCCCTTGGTTCACAGTCCATGACCAGTTCAGGCAAAAACATGAGACCCTATCTCAAAAATAGCTGAAAGCAAAAAGGGCTGGGGGTATGGCTCAAGTAGCAGAGGGCATGAAGCCCTAAATTCAAACCCCAGTACCACCAAAATCAATCAAGGCTTGAAGAATTTGCTGCCGAAGGGAGCGTTAGATCGGCAGCACTCAATCCTTCATTCCTTTATTGAACAAGTGTTTGTTGACTACTGCTAGACACTAGTCTTTGTTCATACTAGTCATCATCCTAGAGGCCTAGGACTCACAGACAGCAGGGAGAAGGGTGAAGGAATCAAAACCATGCCTGGTGAAGCAGTGTTGCCCACTCTGGGGAGGCGAGGATGTCCATCTTGGTGGGGGGGACGTGGAGTGAAGTATGAGAGGATGAGCTAGGCGAGCCTCTCGGAGTCCTGACCCACCAGGAAAGAATTATAAATACCCTGCTGGTGTGGAGAGGGAGTAGGACACATGGAGAAAGGCAGGTCCCAATGAGTGAGAGAGAGGAGAGAGAGAGAGAGAGAGAGGAGAGAGACAGAGACAGAGAGAGAGAGAGACAGGGACAGAGAGAGAAGGAGAGCAGCTTTGCCAGCCTCTAGCACTTTCAGTCCCCCAGGTGGGGTGCAGGCGTGAGTGAAGCCATGTTGGATCCTCTACCCTCAGTCCAGCTATGGACAATGCATGTGGCACAGAGGCAGTCTATCCCATTGTGCCTTACCCAAATTACAGTGTCATGAACAAGGCTTAGTTGTTTTAGGCCACAAAATTTTGGGGTGGGTTGTAATATGGCAAAAGAGAACGAGAGCAGGACTAAGTAGCAGCAGGTTAGATGCAGCAGAAGAGAGCTAGGGACTAAAGGTTAGGTCAGAAAGACAGCAATTCTGACTGAAGCCCAGAGGGAGCAAAGAAGGAAAAATAAAGCTGGCTGATGTTTGTGAGGCGCTCATCTTCTGTTATATGACATGATTTTTTTAAGTCTAATATGGAGCACGAAATGTTGAGAGGTCAGAGAATGAGGTAGGAGCAGTGATGACCAAGAATCCTCTCTAACCAAAGACATTACTGGGGCTAAGTGTTT